CATTGCTTGGCCAATGTGCTCTCTGTGAAAGCCTGAGAGAATGTTTTCTCTCCAAGTGACTCTCCTTAGGCACACTCTACATCATTGATCACTTTCCTCTTTGACCCCATAATCTCCTTGATCAGAAAATTTGGGACAATACTGAATTACATGACATTACAGTACAGGTTCTCATATGTCCTGAGTCTTAATTGACCTTAGAAGGTTACGGTCAAAATGTTGGCTTTCCTTGTATCCCTCCTTTTTCTCTAATTTTGGTCTGCTAACTTAGGTTTTTAACCATCCAGAAGACAAGCTTATTGTTATTACCATACAACTTAGGCTATTAAGCTTAACCTCACTATCTGTCTGCATATCAAACATCTTAGGCATAATATGGAAGGTAAAATTTTATTTATTTATTTTTTGTATTTTAGGGAAGGGTCCCACTACTAGGTCAGACTTGTAGTGATCTGCCTGTTCACAGCCTCCCAAGAGCTGGGATTACAGGTGCGCGCTACCACGCCCAGTCTTATTAGGCAAATATTTTAAAATACACACTAGAGTGGGGTGTGGACATTCAGAGAAAAGAGAAGCTTTTGGAACTGGAAACATTTATGCTTCTCTTGTGGGGGCAGAAACCTGTGAGAAAATGACTCACCTTATAGAAAGATAATGGCCTGTTTGTTGTACAGATGAAAGTATGACCTCAGGTTTTTTTTTTTGTTTGTTTGTTTTTTAATATAAGATGGATAATTTAAACATTCATTAAGTTTCTCAACCTGTTTCTTTATGTTAAGATCAGGTTTCTGCTCTTTTTAAATTGAGCCAATTATGGACTTTTGAGTTTGGTGTGTGATAGGTCTGGCAGGAAAGAAGCTAAATTAACCTTTGGAAAGCTGATACGGATATTCTTGCATAACTTTGTGTCCTGGAAGTTATAGTCTTCTTATTTTTTTTCTGTTCTCTCTTTGTCTTTATTTGATACGACAAAATATAGTTTCAAGAAGGACCTGGGGGTTAATAAATAGTTGGGCAACAGCAGGTCAAGAAAGTCATGGCAGGAACTATGGGATAGCAAGGCGCCTCTAAGACCACTTGTTGGGTTCCAAATGGCAGAAAGTCCCAATGGTTGAGCTAGCTAGCAAGCTGGGGCTGCAGCTTGAGAGGGCATGTAGCAGGTGAGGGCTGGGGAGGTTCCCCAACTTTGGGGAAGGGCAAGAAGATAGGGAGATAATAGGGCAATCAGAAGGGCCCTAGGCCCATGATCATTCTTCTCTCTTTTCATATGCAAATAATTAATAAGAGAAGCCCAAGTTTAGTCACCATGAGGAAGCATCCAGTTTGGCAATGGACTCTGCCAGGCACAAGTACTCACCAGCCTGGGGTTCTCCAGCTCATCTAGCCAGAAACAAAAGAGTGCAAGAGCCTGGAGGTTGGAATGAGGGGCCTGCATCAGGCTGGGCCCACCTTAATTCAGGTGGGTCTTTCTGGGGCTCGGGGACAGGAGAGGTGGGCCAGGCTGAGGTTAGTTCAGTACCAGCCCGTGGTGCTCCAGAGCCCTCGGGAAGGCCCTGCAGAGGTAAACCTGGGCCTCAGGCGTCCAGCTGAGCTAAGCTGAACTTTGTTGAGCTGAAGGGAGACAGGCAGAAGGGTCAGTGAGGATGCAGAATAACAAGGAAAATGTTTTTGTCTTGAGGCCTGGGGAGCCAAAGCCCCAGCTCCTACCTCCCCCCACCCCAAAAAGAAAGGTGCAGTGACCAAGCTGGTTGGGGTGCTCTCTGCTGGCTTCCTGGCAGTCTCTAAAGAGCCTCTTTCCTTTTCATTTTGGAATCTTTTCCACTTCATCCTGCAGCTCTCGAACCAAATCTTGATCTGTGTCTTGTTGAGACAGAAGTTGTTGGTGAGCTATGCATCTGTGGCAAGTGAGGTAGTGGTTAAAGTGGAATTCTTTCTCCAGTTCCAGAGTCTGGTAGCACAGGTAACTGCCTCAGGACTGCTTGCTGTCCATCTCTGGAACAGAAATCCCCCAAGCCAGGAAGGGGTGAACAGCTTGCAGTGCCCATCCCAGTCCTAGGCCCCCACCCACTGCCAGAGGGAGTGGCAGTACTGCAGCCTGGTGGGCCCAGCCCAGCCCAGCCCCGGAAAGACACCTGCATCCAGGCTGAAAACTGGACTGTGGCCTTTGCTCCACAGCTGGAGGGCTGGAGGGAGTTGTGTGTGTGTGGGGGAGCAGTCTTTATAAAGCGTAATTTATTGGGAGTTGGGGTTACTGGGAATTGAACTCAGGACCTCAGGCTTGTCAGGCAGGTACTGTGCCGCTGAGCTATATCTCTGGCCCCAAAAATA